TTTCGGAGGAAGGTTCCCGTGGAAAAGATGCTTTTGCATCAGAAGGTTTGTCAAAATCACTCTCGACGATCAAACTGTCAAATCAGGATTGTTTCGATTATTGAATCGAATCGCAATTTTTTGTATAGGAAAGTTTAAGACAATCCCTGATGATCCTTAACCCCGAAATACAAAAAGATGCGACGAGATGCTTCAAAGCGGTTCAAAGGATAATGGGCGATAGACCTCGAGGTCGCGGTCCAGTTGATGTTCTCGAGGATATCCGGTGGTTGCTGGATCGTGGTATCTTCTATGGTGAACTGAGGGACGAAATATACGTTCAAATTTGTAAACAACTTAACAAAAATCCCAACGGGTACGTGACCAATTGCTTGATCACCTTGACCTGATTCGCATGGTTCTAAACTCGATATTGTGATATTATGTAGAGAGAGCGTAAGAAAAGGATGGGAACTCCTTTGCGTAATCGCAGTAACTTTTCCACCCTCGAAAAATTTCGAAGCTTACCTTATGCAATTTATAAGCGAACATTTTATTGTCAGGGAGAATCAAGTGGATGTGTTGAGCAAACACGTGCACAGTCGGTTATCGCGAATATGCCAACGCGGCCCTAGGGGTAAAGTACTGACGCTGGCGGAAATCGAGAGGGCAAAGGTTCGTGGAGTCACTATACTTGAGGAATTTTTTTCTTGTTCAAAGATTACGACATCATGTATACGTTAATCACAGGAGGCACCATTTAATCCTTCGGTGTTTGGTGAGTCCCTAGAGTTCATAATGGACCTCCAGAAGCAGACACACCCGGAACTTAAGGTGCCCCGTATTCTACCTTTCCTGGCGGACGCGATTATCGAGTTGAAAGGTCAATCGACCGAAGGCATATTTCGAGTGCCGGGCGATGCCGAATTTATTACCGAACTGGTATGCGCGTATGCATGTTCTTGCACGCCAAGAGGCACCTCGAGATTTATTTACTTTATGTGATAATTTTTCTCTTAGAAACTGAGGATCGAGAAGAATCGGTATGACATCAGCGGAATCACCGACCCCAACGTTCCGTCATCCTTGCTAAAACTATGGCTACGAGATTTGGCAGATCCGTTGATACCGGCCGACTTTTATGACAGGTGCATAAAATTCGCGGAGGACAAGGATATGACGATCGAAATTGTTAAAAGTTTACCAGAGATTAACAAAAGGGTCGTGACATATACGATAGACTTCCTGCAGGTTCGCAATTGCACATTGATTCTTCTTCTTTTTTTTTTTTTTCGTAATACGGATGGGTTTCAGTGAGTCATCATCATTGCTAAGCAAAAATCGTTAACCCTCGTGTCCCCTTGTTCCGCGCACAGAAATTTTATAATCCCGAAACGACCATACTGACGAAAATGAATGTACACAATCTGGCCATGTGCTTTGCGCCAAACTTTTTAAGATGTCCGTCGGACAATTTATCCGTCATATTTGAAAATACCAAGTATGAACAAGCGTTTGTTCGAACGTTGTTGCTATATTTGCGTAGCAAGGAGATAATCACCGATGGAGGTGAAAATCACGACGATATCAAGATATAGTGGTGCTCGGACATTTATTTTTTCATTTTAGCTAATGAGATGACGGTCGTTGGCAATGATCATGTGAAATAGAATTAATTGCCTTGTATCATAGAGAATCTTTGTCACATGAGTGCAGGTCACCAGAGTAAGGTCATTTGTCAAGCTTTTTTCCGTTGCAGGTTTCGAAATGACAAAATAGATAGAAATTTAAAGTATCATTATATTTATTCAATATACTGTAATTTACCACAAGCAAACACCCTCCGTCTTCACCTTCAAGACGTCTTTTTACATATGCATCGGCTCAAGATTCTTTGAAGGAAATTGTCACTATAAAAAAAAAAAATAATAATAAACAATAAAATGAAAACAATGGTACTGTAATAATAATAATAAATTCCAACACAAACGCTCTCGAATATACAGTACATATCATTTTGCTCACGTGACCACAGTAAATATTTTCGCGATGCTTATACCTATCTCAAGAACCTTTGACTAGACTTAATTATAACACGTCATGAGTAAGCCATGGTTCGTGAGGAATTAACGATTGTCGGTATCGCAAAGTTCCTAATCATAATGATGGTATTCCTCATCTTGGTCTTCTGCGAACGCGTCGCCGCGAGACTCTGAGGACAAGAGTTCCTCTTCACAATTCACAGGTTGGTAGAAACGGTCCGAGTTGGGAATCCGTTCACAGCGGTTTGATCGTCTCAATTATTCGAGAGTGGCACTCGTTTTGCCTAGTACGTATTCCATCATGCTCTCGATTTATTAGTACAGACGCAGTTAGTCCCATCTCATTGGGGTGACTCCGTCACAGGTGGCACAATATCCTTCAAGCGCGTGAAGGAATCGAGAGAAACCGATAAGAAAGATCGCTCGGAATGGAAAATTAGATAAAGAGGAATCAAGTTCCTTTTTTGATTATCTCCTCGTTTCTCCGCCCTGTCGACATTCAATTCCATTTTCAACCAAAATCAAATATTGAATGCGTCAAATGAGAAAACGAATAATATTATAATGATACGTTCATTCCTTTTGCGCAATGGAGTATGCGGAGGTGCAAGGGTGGTGGAACTGCAAAGAGCAGAAGGCGAATGGGACCATCGATGGGATATTGGTCGCGCCGACGGTTATGGAATAGACGTTGAGTTTTGTTTTCGGGAGTGCATCCCGTTCTAAATAATTTACCGACACCATTTTAATGCAGAAAACGTTGGCAATTCTTAAACCCATATGCAGAGTCTAGCGTGGTTTGCGTCCAATGTTAAACGATTCGTGCCCCTAAAATCAATGTGGCACAACATCCAACAAACTAAGAAAATGATCGTCCGTATTTCATTATTCTCTTGAGTAGAAAAATGGTTATTCCGATCAATTGTACCGTTACTACGCGCGCATCTACAATGCACCATATAAAGGAAATGTACTGGTGTTGAATAAGACGATCGAGAAAAGAAAAAGAAAAGAAAAGGAATCCCTGTGTAACAACAAAAGTCGGATCTTTTGATGCGATTTTTGTCCATGCACCAGTATGCGTACGCAAACAATCTGTCGGATTCAAAGCAACGGAAAATTTTTTTACCTTCCCTAGAATTTCCAACACCGACAAAACTGTATTTCAATATGTGCGGAGTGCGGTTAAACTATACGCCATACCGCCGGAGATCGAGGATTGATGTCGAATAGATGAAATGCGTTTAACTTTGTTTTTTTTTCCTGATGGATGTCACTTTTCTTAATTTATATTGTGGGACGTTGGCTTTATATGAGAAAAGGAAAGATGCGTGGTTCAACGTCATTCATGAAAAAAAAAAAAAAAAAACAATGGCACATTTAAGAGGTAAACACATTTTTAGGAGAAAAATTAGTCAACATTATTTCTCACCGTAATAAGAATTAGTAATCATCGGCACCACAAAAGGATATCGGATATACTATATATACAATGCAATTAAATATAATATTATAAGAGAAGAATTTAGGTATAAATAATCCAGGACAGGGCTCTTTCGTCTGGTAAAACTCAAAAGTTCAAAAACCAAACCATAGAATTATCATCACAAATGTCACAAGAAAAAAATAAGCAATCATCCACTTCGGAATTAACTTCTGAAATGGTCGAAAAAACTTCTCCCGTGACCGCGGTCGACACCTCCGAGCAATCAGACAACGGCGTAATAATAGATGAGCGTACGCGGGAAGATAATAAGAATGGACCGGTAGTGCAAATGTCAAAGACTCGATTACTTTTCGTGTTCATTGGGTAAGGTTGTCGCGAAGGATTTTTCTTGGGATGTCGGAAGTGTAAAACCACCGAGTCGCTTCTATTCGATTCGATCTGATTTCTTTATTTCCATTTTCACCCACTCAGTTTGGCCTTTGGTATTTTCCTGGCGGCTTTGGATATGACCATCGTGGCCACGGCTTTGTAAGTTTTTCTTTATTTTTCTCTCTTTGAACTGTTCGTTCAGATTGGGCAACAGATATAAACGTTCGATTTTATCGGATTCGCGAAACGACAGGCCCGCCATTGCCATTGAATTCAACGCTTTGAACGATCTCGCCTGGATTGGAACATCGTATTTGCTAACCGCGGTAATTATGCGTTCTCGCGACATCTCCGTCATCATCATTCACGATCACGTGACATAACATTGATTGATGTATTTAGACCGCTTTCCAACCGACCTATGGCAAACTGTCCGATATTTTTGGGCGAAAATATACATTCTTGGGGGCAATTTTTATATTCGAGATTGGATCATTATTGTGCGGCCTATCGAAGAGTATGGTCAGTACCAACTAATGAGTGAAGGTTGATTACGCGCGCCAACAACTCAATCTTTCTATTCATTTACTTTAGACTATGCTAATTATATCACGTGCAATTGCCGGATTAGGGTAATTATATGGTTACATCAAGAATCCGAAATTTTGTCCGTTCCTTCATACTCACTTCATCTAACATTCGACATGCATTTCAGGGGTGGCGGCATTATAGGGTATAAATCATCTCATATCTATCTGCTTAAAATGCGAATCTATCGGCGATTATTAAAACCGTTCTTTTGCGACACTACAGCCTCGTGTTAATCATAATCTCGGAGGTCGTGTCAGTTCAAGATCGCGGAAAGTACCAGGGGATAATTGGTGCTTGTTTTGGCATTGCGTCTGGTAACTATATTTCTTTTCTTCGGTGAAAAGTTAAAATTTACGCATGAATTAAAAATCATCTCATTCTCAAATCAGTTATCGGCCCACTTCTTGGGGGTGCATTCACGGACCACGTCACCTGGAGGTTCGAAGAATCTTTAATTTGTTGGCGAACTCTCGTTCAAGCAAACTAGTACAAATCTAAAAAAGAAAATTTCTTGTGTTAACAACAGATGGGCATTTTACATAAATCTGCCACTGGGCGCCATCACTATTGTTTGCGTTACAGTCCTTCTTCATCTACCGCGTCCCAAAGGATCACTCAAAGAGAAATTAAAGCGTATAGATTGGTTGGGCACGTTCATCATCGTGACGTCGACGATATGTATACTGCTACCGTTAAATTGGGGCGGAAGTACCTACGCCTGGAATTCTCCCTTGGTGATCACACTATTATGTGTAGGCGGCGTGGGACTCCTTTTGTTTGTATTTGTTGAGGGATGGATAGCCAATGAACCTATCGCACCAGGTCGGTATGATACAAATTGTTCAGGAAGGCGCGTGAATAATTAAAAATGTTAATTCGGTTTGCCTATTTCTTTCCCCCCTTTTTAGGACGCTTGTTTGCTGACAGAAATGTGGTCGCGTGTTTTCTCGTGACATTTTGGCACGGCATGGCATTCTTCTCCCTAACTTATTTCGTACCACTATATTTTCAAATAGTGAATGGAGATACTGGTGATTACCTTTACATGAACTTTATTTCAGAAACAATTCATTCCAACTTGTGCCCAAACTTAATTTAATTCTTTTTATAAAGCAACCCAATCTGGTCTTGCTCTTCTCCCGCTCATCCTTGGTGTAGTTGTACTTTCCATTTTCACCGGGCAATTGGTATCTCGTACCGATAAAATTTCATATAATGCCTTGTGTTTGGTAGGCGCAGTATTAATGACAGTTGGGGCAGGATTGATAAGCACAATAACGGAAAATTCGAATCGGGGGGAGCAACTTGGATATTTACTGATCACCGGTGTTGGCTTAGGTTTAATTATTCAAACTATCTTGTTAGCCACACAGGGTTTTGTAGAGAGGGAATACGTGGCTTCAGCTACTTCCCTGCTGACCTTTTTCAGAACTTGTACGCACAATTCAAAGAAGTTTTTGATTTTGATTTTGAATAACAGCGTCCGAAATCTAACCTCACCTTACCTACCCACATTTTAGTCGGAGCAGTATTCGGTATAGCAATTCTGGGCACGATATTTAACAACGAATTCTCGAAAAACATAAACGCCGTTGCAAATCTTCTACCGCCGGGTCTGGATCCGGGATCCATAAGCGAAAATAGTTCGGTGTTGGCAACGTTATCCGAGTCCCAGAAATTACCGATCATTCATGCATTCGTGAAGTCATTGGATGTAGCATTCGAATACGTCATACCCATGAGCGGATTGTGTTTCCTAAGTGTGTTTGGCATGAAAATACTAAAACCAACACACGATAAACGAGAGGAGACGTTGGATCTTCATGGAGTCGTCGCATAATGACAAAAATGAATGTGAACTATTCTCTTCACATTTTCGAAAGAAAAATTGATCACACACCACGAGACTTTTGTCGCGCTTCCCTTGTAGTTATATTCTTTTGAATTGAGGAAAAAAAAAAAATAGTATATATATATATGTAACAATAATACAGTATAATAGCCTTTAAAAACTATTAATAACCTTTAATAATAAAAAATTGGACATTGAATTGTTTATTTTGACGTATTGTAATAATATATGGGCAATTATTCTTGAAGGCGATCAAAATATTAAATATGATTTTTTCGGCCCCCATTTTTTAATAATACGTATATAATGCAAATTTTAGGATCACAATTATAAGGTCCGAAAAATCCCTGTCCGCCTTCGAAAATAATTACCCATATGGAGCAAGAGATATTTGAGGTACTTCTTTATTTGGTTTTCATTATACTCCAGACTTTCTATACGCGATGCATTTATATTTGCTGCATTTATTTTGGTTTATTTAACTATGATATAGGTTTAAATTAAGGCAAAATAAATCCTTTATCATTATGATTATACTTTAAAATAAAATGCATATTATAAAATCATGCTTCTTTGCAAATTCTATTGAATATTTTTATTGTTAGATACGACAACCTAATAAAAAAAGATATATTTTAAAAATTATCAATTCTATATTCGATATATCGCGAAATAGATATTCGAGTTATAATTCAAAAAAACAATTATTTCAAATTATAAATTTACGTACAGCATATAGTGTATAATTTGATATATAAAAAAAAAAAAGAGGGTTCATATGTAAAAATAATTGTAATGATTCTTTGCCAAAATCCGACACCATTATTCTGCAACAAAAACTCGAATACCTTGATCAATTAAATCAACAAAAAATATGATTACGCTGTACTTGTAAGCTTTCGTATTATCGCAAGATCAAAACGTCAAGTCATCTGTTTTTCAATTTTAATATTACAAAATATTTAAAAAAATTTTAACAATATATTTTTTATAGTAATATTTAAAATCAATTTTTAATTTAATGATAATAAGGACAATAATTTTTTAATATTAATTTATTAATTTATCTATTTGTTTTTATTTTGCAATAATCCATTAAACCAGGTTGATAATATGTATTTATTATATCAATACAAAATATGTTTAAGCATTGTATATATAGAATCTAAGATTAATTACGGTTGCTTCCAAAAGTTTGAATCCACTTACTATGTTTTTATTATAAATTTCAACTTTGGCTATTTTTAAATCATTAACTATACAGTCAAAAATTATAAAATTTATATATATTCTGTCTTAATACTTATTCTATTTTTTCTATTTTTTTAAAAAAATTTTTATTAATACATTTTAAAGTTTTATTATTATTAAATATCTTTATTTTTTTATTAATTATTATATAATTTAAGATAACAGCCGATCAAAATCCTCCAAAAGTAAAAATTTGATAAAGAAAGGAATTTTTTAACAATAATAAAACTTTAAAATTACATATAAAAATTTTTTGAAAAAATATAATAAATAAAACTAGTATTAAAATATAATATATATGAATTTTATAATTTTTGGTTGTATAATTAAAGATTTAAAAATTGTTAAAGTTAAAATTTATAATAAAAACATAGTAAGTAGACAAACTTTTGGAAAAAACTGTATGTAAATAAGAATATAATACACAATATTACTTAATAGCATATTATCTATTAAAATATTAGTTTTAGTAATATTTTATATATTATAATTAAACTCAAAAATTAAAAAAAATTCATATAAATGTAAAGCTTAAATGTTGATAATAAAAGTCTAATGTAGTATAATGAAATTTTATAGTATATAGAAATAAAAAGTTTATTATGTAATAACTTTTTACATTTAAAAAAAGTTTTGGATTTTTCAAAATCCTCCCGTATATCAAAATTTTCTTTTATCAAGTAAACCGGGACCCAGAAAATAGGCAAATAAATGAAGAACCCTGAGAAGAATACAGGAGTGGCTCTTTGGATAAAAGTCCAAGGAAATAGACTGGAACCTCACTATGAAAACATTAACACCATCCAAAATTACACCACTTAAGACAAATCAGCAGAATCACAAAGATAAAGCTTTTTGTTGGAAAACGTAACTCAATGAATATTCTATAATAGTGAATATAAATATATGAAAATCATATCTATACAAAAACACAATATATATTATCTGCAAAAAACAAGAAGAAAGAGATCTTCACACATTTATTTGTGAACTAAATAGAACAAGATTGAGAAAAAAGTATACATCCTTCCTAACTGAAGAGTGTGCAGCCAGGATAAATGATAATAAACAAAGGGAAGTGATAAAAGACATCTGGAAAAGTCTCTTCAACCTACCAGCTTCAAGAGAATCAAAAGAATTAAGCAAAATAGAATGGTTGGACATCATTAGGAGACCATTACATATAAGATAAGACAAGTAGCAAAAGAAATCACAGGGAATATAAAAGCAGCAAAGACAGCTTTGAAGGCTGTAACAGATTATTTCTGGAAAGAGAAGAGAGAAATCTGAAAATTGAGATATAACCTGGTCATAAAATGGAAAAGAATTCAAGGAATCTCATCGAAGAAGAAACGTGAATGTACATAAGAGACAAAAAGTTTTACAAACATGGGGGATAACAAGATAGAACAATACAAGACACCAATAGACATCTATACATAGAAGTAACCAACTATTGCATGAGTAATATTTTACAAAATGAATACTCACCTACCTTACTTTTTTCTTTAAATATTAGTGTTAGTGGAGTCATGACATGCTAACATCTACTTAGGTGAATTGTAGCAAGTTGCAAAGTTCATATAGATTCTAAGCCAATAATTTTTTTTCTATTATAAATATAGTTTTTCTCACAATTCAATTTGTGTATAAAAAAAGATACCAATGATTAAATAAAAATTGGATGGCATGACTTTGTCAGCTTTAAAAATATATATATATATATTTAATAAAGTATATATATCTTGTTTGAATAAAAAAAAAAAACTCTTTCCGTTGATCCTCCTTTTTCCTAAAAATTTCTTTTTTTGGCAATTTTTTTGAAAAAGCAAACCTGGTCAAACACACAAGGAA